CACACGTTTTGGCCCAGAAGGCCAAACGTCTGGAAATTTCCCTGGGCCACACGTTTTCGCCCAGGCCCACACGTTTTGAGGCAGGCCCGGGTACTTCCAAAGAAGTATAAATAAAGAGGCAGCGTCCAGCCATTCATTCATTCGCCTGTGAGCCGTGCGGAAGAGCTGCCTTGGTATCTTGTGTGTGGAGGTCTGCAGGTGCCCGAAGAAGAAGTGGGCTGTGAAGAAGACTGCGGCCATAGCGAACCAGCGAGGGAGACACCAGTGGCCATAGCTAGGAGGAGGAAGACGACAGCGGCCATAGCCGCCCAGCTGTTGGTGTAGACAAGTGTACAGAGTGTGTGAGGCTGTGCTGAGTGGGGGCATTCAGGGTGATCCTCGTACGTGCATGCATGTGAGAGTGAGGGAGAGTGAGGCTGGTGGTAGAGACAGTGTTCGGCGGCCATAGCCGCAAGTTGTACAGTTCTGAACAGAGTTTAAGAGCAAGTTCATTGTTGTTTCTGAGTTGGAAGAGCTTGGTTTGCCATCGGTTCTCAAGTGTGCATGTTGTGAGCAAGTCCAGAGTTGAGTCTGATTGCATTGGTATCGGAGCTGGTACCCGTTGTCCACGCCGGTGGAGCTGCAGCAGCGAGTTGGAAGAAGGAAGGAGCCGCCATAGCCAGAGATCGGCAGAGAGAGAAATAGAGAGAGAGAGAGAGAGAAGGGGGGACGGCAGCCATAGCTGCCAAGCTCGGGAAAGAAGACAATCGGTAAGAAGAAAGAGAGAGATGCAGGGAGAAGGAAGAAGGAGGTGACAAATAGGGAGACGAAGTCAGTCATAGCCAAGGTGGAAAAGACGAAGGTTTTGAGGAAGAAGAAGAAGGTCCACCATAGCCGGAAGGTTGGAAGGTTGACCGGGGAGTTGACCAATGTTGACCAGGAGTTCTGACCAACGTTGACCAGGAGTTGACCAACGTTGACCGGGTGTTGACCAAGAGTTGACCGACGTTGACCAGGGCGTTGACCAGGAGCGTTGACCGGCGAGTTGACCAAGATCGTTGACCGGAGTGTCGACCCAGCTGGAGCGAGCAGATTACCCGTACCATCTCTCCATGCCCTGGCCTACCCATTACCCCATGGATGTGCACCTTCACCTTGGTACCTGCTGACTTTAAGTCCGTCAAAGTCAGTCAGTCCTATCTCCCTGTCACTTCTGTCCAGGTCGGTAGGATTCTGAATATGCGGTCATAAAACCGTAAGTCTATCCCGAGTAGTGAGTCAAAACCCCTCGATAGAAGTTAACCTGTTCGGTCTACGTGTTGAGGGGCGAAACCATTGTTGATTGTGCACTTTCACCATGGTGACCACCAGGACTGGGTTTAGTACCACCCCCTACAGCAAGGAGCAAGAAGAGAGAGTTGCCGCCCATCTGCTTGAAAGGAAGGAAAAGATGGAGAAAAGGGAGCTAATCAAGCAGGCCAAGATGCTGGCCCTGCTGGAGGAACAAGAGGCAAAGAAGAGGCAGATGGAGGAGCTGAAGGAGCAGGAGGAGAAGATGACGGCTATACAAGAGGAGGTGGAGAAAGAAGAAGAAGAAGAAGAAGAAGTAGAGGAAGAAGAGCCATTGGAGAGAAGGAGAGGGGAAGCGAGGACAAGCAAAGAAATGGAGATTGCAAGGATTGCAGAAGAGTGGGCCGCACATTTGGAGTTAGGGGAAGATAGGGAGGCCGAGATGGCCATCCCCCAGAAGGAGAGAGAAGCAGCAAGGAGGCAGATTGAGACAGAAACGGACCCGGTGAAGAGAAAGGCGAAGGAGGAAGAACAGCAAATGGCATGGAGATTCAGGCTGTCCCAAGACGATTGGAAGCGGCGGAAAAGGTTGAGAAGGATCTAAAAGCAGCGGAGACTAGGATGGGAAAAATAAGGGAAGAGACGGAGATAGCTACTAAGCTCAATACCCTGACTCAGAGCGTACAACCTTTACTAATTGCACACCACGAACAAGCGCAGTATATTCGCAGTTTAGAAGTAAAGATAGATGCAATGCGCGCCGGGCTCAAAGATTTTGCAAGTGACATGATGAAATACTTATTGGCCGAAGTCCACAATGCAATTAGTAAGACCCGAGAGTTCTGCACTAGCGCCATTGAAGGCGCCAAGTTAGCAACTCCTAAGGAAGAGGAGTCGGCCCCACCACGCCGTGAGAAAGTCAAGGTCCGTTTTCCCGAACCCTTCAGTGGAAAGAAGGGTGAGAATTTCGATAACTGGGAGGCCAACGCGCACTCCTACTTGTACTTACAGGGAGTCACGCCTGATGTTTTGGCTGCCTTTCAGGCCCTTCGAGACGAGGCGACTAGCTTTGCTAGGTTGCAGTTGCATTTGCCGCCCAAGCGTCGCCAGTTACCACGTTTTGGCACAAAGATCTGTCAAAGGGAAAAATGTGGAAGGGACGCACCATCTCGGGTCAAATCAAGGCCAAAGATAGTTTAATTCTGAAAATGGAGGAAGGTGGTGCTGACGAGGTTCCCTCCTCTGACATCGAGTGGGGACTGGAGGAGGAGAACAGTGGCGCAGGCCAGGGGAGAACCTACGCTGCTGTTGCGGTCGGAGGGAGGCCGCAAGGAGGAGGACAACGGTCCGGCCAGAATGGTCGGGCCCCAGGTGGTCGAGGACAGGGCGGCCAGGGGGTTGGCGGCAACGGCAACCGCCAAGAGGGAGGAAGGGGAGGTCCCCCGCCTAACCATCTGCATTTTAGTCGGTCACCCCCCTGACAGGGAAGGTGGCACCCAGGACGGCCTGAGGGCCGACCTTGGGTAGATCTGGGTATAGATCAGGGAGTATGGCAAGCACGCATTAATAGTTCTCAATGCGTATTCTGCGGGGACCCATGCCACATTATCCAATTTTGTACCAAGTATAGGGACCGTGCTGCGTCTGGGGCAGCAAAAGACAGCCGCCGGTAGGGGTCGCAAGTGCCCCTACCCCAAGAGTATCTGGATCTGAGCGTGCGCGCGAAGTAGTCTCCCACTCCACATATCTCCATGGCAGAGGTTGCAGGCCAGCGTTGAGTAAGCTGTCCAGAGACTGCTTGTGTTAGGGTCTCTCTAGACGCTTCCCTCACAGGCTTAGCCGAGGAGTTAAGAGAGAGGAGGCAAGCCTGGGCCAAGATGAAGAAGGACACTAAAGGACAACTAATCCTCGCAGACGTAGAAATATTTAGAGTTAGATTAGGTGCCCTGATAGACAGTGGGGCGACTAGGAGTTATATCAGTCGTCGAGCGCTGAAGAAGTTGAAGCTTAATTTGAAAGTCCAATGCTTAGAGGAACCTGTAGTCAACATTCTTGCAGACAACAACAGGATGCGTGTTGAAGAATATGTTGAGGGGGTCCACGCCTACTTTCGCCGAGAGAAAGATGGGAAGGTAGAGAAGGTATTGCACTCCTTGACCCTCCTCGTGGAAGAGAGTCTCCCGTTTGATATTGTTCTAGGTACGGATAGGGGAGAGGCAGCAGGAGCCACTCTGCACCTTAGAGAGCATTGTAGGCTCCCTAGCGCGTCAAGCGAAGTCAAGCAAGTCCGCCTGTTCCATGAGTCCGGGGTAGATAATCCCGTCATCCATTGCTGCCTCAGCGCTCCTACATTCGACAGACTTGTGTGAAAGGAGCAGCTCGAAGAGCAGGTGTTCGTAGCCTATGTTAGGCCGATTTTTTATCAGCCAAAGGAAGAGGAAAAAATCCATCCTTTCTATCGCCAGTTTGCTGGAAGAATATAAGGACTTGTCTGAAGCACCTTCAGGAGTAGTGCCCAGACCAATCCAGCATCGTATAGAGATAGAACCTGGCAGTAGAACACCTAGGGGGGCAGTCTACAAGATGTCTCCCAAGGAGTTAGAGGAGCTTCGCAGACAGTTAGATGAGCTCTTGGAAAAAGGATGGATTAGGCCTAGTTCGTCACCGTTTGGCGCACCTGTTCTGTTTGTCCCAAAGAAGGAGGGAAAGCTTCGCATGTGTATAGACTACAGGGGACTGAACGCCATCACGATTAAGAATGCAGAGCCATTACCGCGTATAGATGACTTGCTGGATCGAGTACAGGGATGCAGGTCTTCTCGAAGATAGATCTGAAATTGGGGTACCATCAGATAGAGGTGTACCCTGACGATCAGTATAAGACGGCATTCAGGACGAGATATGGGCATTACGAGTTCATAGTGATGCCATTTGGACTTACTAAGGCACCGGCAACATTCCAGCGCTGCATGAACGACTTGTTTAGACCGTGGTTAGATAGATTTGTCGTAGTTTACTTAGACGACATCCTAATGTTCAGCAAGACCCTCGAGGAACATGAGGGACATCTACGACAGATTCTAAGCAAGTTTAGAGAGTCTAACTTCAAGATTAACCCGAAGAAGTGCGAATGGGCCAAGACACAGGTCCTTTACCTAGGCTATGTACTAGACGGCGATGGCATTCGGCCTGAGGACAGCAAGATTGCATCCTTCAGAGATTGGCCAACTCCTAAGACGCTGACAGAGTTGCGCTCATTCCTAGGACTAGCTAACTACTACAGGAAGTTCGTGAGGAACTTCTCCACGATTGTTGCTCCCCTTCGTAGACTTCTGAAGAAAGAGACTATCTGGAAGTGGGACCAAGATTGTACGTCAGCCTTCAAGAAATTGAAGAAGGCTTTGATAGAGTACCCTGTCCTCGAAGTTGTTGATCCATCATTACTATTCGTTGTTACTACAAACGCGAGTCAGTATGGCATAGGCGTCATTCTACAACAAGATGACGGCAACAGTTATAGGCCCGTAGAGTTCATGTCAGCCAGGCTGCCCTCAGAGAAAGTCGCAGCATCGACATATGAAAGAGAACTCTACGCTCTCAGGCAGGCTCTAAAGCACTGGAAACATTACCTGCTTGGGAGACACTTCAAGGTTTACTCAGTCCACGAGACTCTTAGATGGCTAAAGACACAGGCCAAGATGACGCCCAAGTTGACTAGATGGGCTGCTGAGATAGACCAGTATAACTTTGAGTTGAAACCCGTCAAAGGCAAGTATAACGTGGTAGCTGATGCGCGAAGTAGGAGATCTGATTACTTCGGCGCAATAGTGCACTACCTAGACATAGGGGCCGATATGCAGCAGAAAATAAGAGATGCCTATGCACAGGACCCGATCTACAGTGAGCTCCTGAAGAGAGTAAAGGAAGCCCCCAATAGTGAGCCACACTACCGAACCACGAACGGGCTACTGTTTGAGAAGACTAATGTCGCTGACAGACTATGTGCCACACTACCGAACCACGAACGGGCTACTGTTTGAGAAGACTAATGTTGTTGACAGACACTGTGTCCCCAATAGTGAAGAGATCCGTAGTCTGATCTTAGGGGAATGCCACGATACGGAAGGGCACTTTGGATGGCAGAAGACCTTAGCTAACCTGATGATGTCATATACGTGGCCAGGCATGAAAGCAGATTGTATAGAGTATGTGCGCAACTCCAAGGTATGTCAGCGGAATAAAACTACAACCAGAGCCCCGCTAGGTCTTCTAAGACCCTTGCCTATTCCGTCAGGACTCAGAAATTCAGTTTCCATTGACTTCATGGATACTGGGGTCAAGAGTAGGCACAGCAAGACTCAAGTCATAGTCATAGTAGATAGGTTTAGCAAGTATGCAATATTTGTTCCCCTGCCTTCAGAGGCACGTACAGACTTAGTCATAGTAAGTTTTTCGACTTCTGGGTAAGCGAGCATGGTATGCCGCTGTCCATAGTCAGTGATAGGGACACGCGGTTTACGAGTCAGAATTGGCAGGATCTTATGAAAGTCTATGGGTCTAAGTTGTTGATGTCGTCAGGACGACACCCAAAGACTAATGGCCAGACAGAGCAGATGAATAAGATCTTGCAACAGCTACTTAGAATGTATATTAGGCTAGATCAGATAAACTGGGATGAGATGCTTCCCAAAGTAGCAAGTGCCTACAATAACAGTGTTCATCTAGCTACCTGCAGGACTCCTAACGAGCTACATAAGTCCTTTAGACCAAGGCGACCGTTTGAGGGACTAAACCGGGACCAGATACACAGGCTACCACCCGGCACACGAGAGTTTGCGTTACAGCATAAGCAGGAAGTCGCTAAGGTCATAGACAATCTGAGAAAGGCCCAACATCGGATGATAGAGCAAGCTAACAAGCATCGTCGACCTTCACAGTTTCAGGTAGGCGATCTAGTCTGGGTCAAGTCAAAGGAGTTCGCACGTGGGGAAAACATATCGCAGAAGCTCTTACCTGCGTATAGAGGACCGTGGCCTGTCCTAGAAGTCAAAGGAGGAGAGGACGACCCGTCATATACTACAGAGATTCCATCACACCTCCACACGTACCCAGTCTTCCATGCATCTAAGTTGTTACCCTGCACCACATCTGACAGATTCCCTTCTAGGAGATCGATGATTCCGCCAGACATGGATGGTGCATATGATATAGATCACATAGTGGAAGAGGACGTGTTTAGGACAGGAGGTCGAGGTCGTCCCCAGAAGCAGTATAAAGTTCGGTTCGCATACCAGGAACCCGAGGACGACCGATGGTTCACAAGAACATAGCTTTTGGAAACCGCTCCCGACATAGTACACGCCTATGAGAGGGAAAGAAAGGGCAAAGGTCCTGCCTTGAGTTAGGGTGTTCTCGGAGGACCTCGACTTTAGGACGACAGGAGTGAAACGGTTTCACCCAGATGACCTGACATTGCAGTCACGAAGATTCGATCCCTTGACCTGTGCCACAACCCTGTACATTGATCCCGTGTGTTAAGTGAGATTTGATCCCTAGACCTACCCTATACCTGTACATAGACCCTGTGTGCTGAGTAGGATTCGATCCCTAGACCTGTTTCACATCCCAGATTAGTCTGTAGTTTGGGCAGTAGGACTTGATCCGTAGGTCTGTAGATTAGCAGCTAGGTCTGTTACCGATAGGCTTAGGAAGTCTGTTCTCGAAGTCTCTACGAAGTCTGTTGAGGACTGGAATCTGTCTGTAGGTCTGTATAGTCTAGAAGGTCGTAGGTCCCTGTAGGCCAGACCAGTCAGCAA